AAAAAAAAAAAAAAAAAAAAAAAGTCACCAAATTTCATCTTCTTGGATGATACACAACAATATGGCTGAACTAAAGGGCAGAAAATTTATTTATTAATATAGCACGAAAGCTGAAGAAATTAGAAGTAAATATAAATACCAGCATAACATATCTTTAGAATGTTTAAAAGCCTAGGAATATCAACTCAACAAGCAGCAGCAATCAAAAACATATTCAGCTTCTTATCCCCTGGATTATATGATCAGCTGTACTATGACAAATGATATGGGCATATTCAATCTCTAGAGAAAAGCCATAGCCGACTTTTGGCTTTAAAAAGTAGTGTGGCTGCACAAAACAGAATGAATACTTTTGATTCTGATCTACTTCCAAGTCCATTTTACAAACAAACGAGCACTTTCGATTCTTTTTCCTTGTCTCTTTTCAATATCATGCTCTCGTTCTAACAATCCAACTCAGCTTCTATTTACGAACCCAAAAACATACTAGCTTCTACACATTATAATTTACAAACCAAATATAAAAGGAGAAGAAAATTCACCACTCATTCTGAAAACATGACTTCCTTCGAGATTAACACTTTAGATTACTAAAACGACAGTTCACTTTTTGTGGATATAGAATTTACCGTGCAAAAGGCCTTTCCGGTCATGGGAGCATAATTTCAAGAGAAAAACATTGGGAGGCTTGGGGAGGCTCAACTCGTCCCTACTGTACAATATTCCAGAGGCAAAAGAACAACTCGGGCACGCCTCCATCAATCTCTTTTTCAGTAAACCCCATCGAGTACCCGGCTTGCTTTGGACCCAGAACACTATGTAGCACCATTTTCCATCAGTTGATACATCTTCAGTCAATGCAAATAACAGAAAAATAACAATAATTAGTTACAAAACTCACCATTTGTCACATAACAAGCTGAATAATGAATAATCTAAGGAAGAAAACAAGAATATGTGCTAATCACAATAGTCATACAACTCTTATCCACCAACCACCACCACACAATGCAACTGATTTTCAGATCTCTACAGCAAATTAGAAGCACATAAACACATTATCCTCAAAGCCCATGTCATCGATACGCAACAAAACCCCCACAAATTTGCCTAGGAAAAGGGAAAAATCACAAAAAAAATAACAGAGAGACAAAGCGTACCAGTTCTGACAAGGGTGAGGCCGAAGAACAGAATTATGCGGCAAAGATCACAACCTAAGCCAGTCTTGTCGGGACAATTTACCGTTATTACACTCGGCTCCTCGCCTCTCTCAGATTGCCTAATTATAACAGCATCGTCGTACAGTAAACCCATCTCGTGTTTTTTACCAATTATCCTCTTTCCTTCAAATTTCGAACAAAAAGACTGAATCTTTATCTCCGAATAACAAAAAGATTGAATCTTTATCTACGAATAAACAATAATAAAGCAAAGGGGCCAACTGGGTATCTCGGACAAGCTCTCTGCAACAACATACAAGAAAAAATCCCTAAAAAAAGCACACTCTCGTAGAATTATTTGGAGGTAGGAGAAGATGTGTCACTGACATAATATGAGTGGTGGATTAAACATAGCTGTAATATGTATAGGTTTTATGAAACGAATAAAGAACAATATATAAAAACAAAATAAACAAAAATGTTTTGTTGATTTGAAAAGTGTCTATAAATCTTTTTAGGTTGGTGGACCGTGAAAGCTGAGAGGTCCAGAAGGCGGGGTTTGGACCGGCTGGGGTGCGGTGCACCGTAACGAGTCGAACTCAAATTTTTTAAGTTTGAACTCAGGCTACGGCTTTTTTCTCGAGTTGAGCTGAACTCGTTGTTCTATATTAGCCAGTCAATCTCAAATTCAAACTTTAACAAGTCGAGTAAAAAAAATAAATAAAAATATAAAAGTTATATAAAATCTTCTAATCTCAAACTTCGACAAATTGACCTTAAACTCAAGACCTCTAACATTTTTTATGATAATTAAGATTTTTATGAAATTATAAACGTCATTGAACACTGAAGAAAGTTTATGCTGCGAAATTTTATAGTACACTTCATGTAATAACATTTCATGAGATTCATGATGTATATTTCTCGATAACCACTACTTTTATAATTTGGCTGCTTTTATCTAAAGTTGTCACGGACACAAAATTTGTGAGCTATAAGTTATGAACTCCATAGATGAAATTTAAGTTGAGCTATCAATATGGTAAGTACAATAAATAATCAAATTTTAAGAATATTATTGGCCTCTCTGGTCATTAATTTCATATTCCTTAGAATATTTTCGGCTTCTCTAATAATTTCTTGGATGTTTGGGTACTTGACCAAAGTACTTATGGTTCAATTTGATATGCTTTCATACAAGAAAATGTAATTATCTAACTAGAGGAAAGTGTTAAGAAACATGGAAGAAATGAACAATATTGTAAAAGATATTATTAGATATCCCTCCTATATCCCTCCTATATATTAATTCAGAACGCGCTGAGCCTACGTGACTGCTTCTGGTGCTTCGGAATCATATGTGGCAAAATTACATGCTTCGTTATTAGGCTTGGGTAAATTTTAATTTAGTTCCAAACCAAAAATAATTAGGTTCGGATTACCATAAATATGTTGATTATTTATGGTCATGTTACATTATTAAGTTGCATTTTAATATCATTTCTTATTATAACTATTGAATTGTATATATATTTTAAAAGTTAATATTTTTTGTATTTTTTATCAGTTTTACATATGTAATATATCAAATTAATCTTCTTTTGATGAGCTTCGATTTAACATCCATATTGTATGTATAAAAAATAATTTATATTTATCTTTATAATAATAATAAAATTATTTTTAATATTAATTAGAAAAATAAAATTATTTATCAACTAATATATTTATATTTCAAGTAGTTATATACTATAAGTTATAAAAACTAATATAATATAAAACATGTAAGTCATAAGTAACACATATCATTCCAAAATATATAGTAATATATTCTTTTTATAAAAAGTAAACTAAATTGAATATAGTTTTCTCATTAATTTTAAAATTTAAGAATAATATTTTAACAAACACCCGTGTAATACACGGGTGTTTGTACTAGTAAGACAACAAATCATTAATTATAGTTGTTGTGATTAATTAATATGATTGTATTAATAAATTTAGCCTAATAAAAACCTATGATTAGCTAGAAGGTATACATTTTCATATGAATATGTCATAGTTAGTAAATTATCATAAATAAAAGACATAAACATTTTATAATACAAGTATGTATTTAGAAAAATAACAATGGGTATGTTTAACATCTGAGCTCCTCTCTAGTGCTTATCATATTCAAGCTCGAGCTAGCTAGAGCCTTACTCAAGTGAATCATAACTCACCTTTAGCAAGTTAAATTTAGCTAACAGTCATAAATACGTAAAAATCCTATTCTTGTTTCTCGAGCTTAACAAGTTTTAACAAGTCGATCTCACTCAACTCCCTTTAACTAAACGAGTTCGAGCTCGCTTTTTTTTTTCAAACATGCCAGCCAAGTTCACAAGTGACTCGTTTCTTTTAATATTTATACTCACTTCACAACAAAATTTGTATAAATTAATAAATGGTTTATAAAGGTACACATTGATAATTTATGTTTTCTTCTATAGGTCATGTTTATTTCCTATTCACGTGCCTTTAAAAATACAAACATGCCAAGACAAACATATGGTGTATATTTTATGTGCATTGTTACTTCAAGGAAACTACCTTTGACAAGACAAATATAATATTAAAACACAACTAACTCATCTCATGCATATGTATGTACATTGAAATATAACAAAAAAACAATTGTTGTCACAAGTCAAATGTGGAATCACAATATCACTAAAATCAGCAGCCACAAAACACTTTACTTTTGTCCCAACAATCATACACATATAATAAGGTAAAATTACTTTTTTAATCATTCTCGTTTAATGTTGTAGCATTTTTAGTACTAAAATTTCAACTTTTTATTTTTTGATCCTGTAATTTAGTATTTTTGCTGCAATTTCAGTCATTTGAGACTGAAATTGCAACAAAATTTAAAATTTATATTTTTTATTAGAAATTTAAATCCTGCAATTTTTAAATTTTGTTGCATTTTCAGTCATAAAGGTTGCATTGAATTTTTAAATCATATAACCAAATAGCAACAATGTACAATTTTTAGGACTAAAAACGTCACTAGATCAAACCAGCATAACTAAAATTACAATTTTACGCACATAATAATTTTATAATTGTATTAAGAAAAATAGGTGCAATTGGATCTTGTCATGTTTGATGTTTGGATAGAGTTTGGAATATTAAAAAGAAATGGAAGAATATTCAACTTGCTCTTTAAAAAATGGGACCAAATCCAATGTTCCTTTAGTATTTTGTTCTTCACTAATGTGAGTGCGAAAAAACGTGTTCAGTTTTCCAAGGCCTACATGTTTTAGTGAGTGAATGGGAATTAGGCAAAAAGGTTTAGTTATTTGCATATAATATATCATCTATTTATTATTATAATAAAAGAACACTTGAATTTAAAATAGTTTTTAACAAACTTTTTTTCATGAAATAATTATTATTTCACTAAATTTTATGTTGCTATTAAAAAATTGAGCATTTTTTTTAATATAAAAAATATGCCTTGTGAATTACATAATAATCATGGGCCTTTTATCCATTGTTTACATATACAGCAACATTCAATCATGTGCATATGCACAGCTGTAAATAAAATTTTTTATATGTTGTATGTATGTGTACGTAATATATAAAATCATAAGTTAGATAATAGTATATCGTATTTTATAAATCTTATCATTAGTAAAAATGAACGATATAAACATAAACTATTAACTAACCTCTTAATCTTTATTTCGATTGTAGTTATATATTTTTTGAATTTTTTATTATGAACAATTGATTAGATAAAAAAATATTGAAATTATTATAACAAATGTATACGAAATATTAAAAAAAAAATTGTTATATCATAAAAATTAAATAAGTAATGTTAATAAAAAACTTGATTGATGAGTTAAAATATAAAAAAAAACAATATATATAAATAGTTTGAAGAAAATAATAAATTATACTAAAATAATAAATTATACTACCATTTTATGTGACTTACTTATTGGTTAATAGTGGTTGTTATATAATAAAATTTAATAAAGAGGTATAAATACTTAACTATTGCAAAGTAACGTCTTTTGGAGGAAAAAGTTTTGATGTTTTATTAAATGATATGTCAGCAATTACATAAATATATATAGCAGTTTTGCTATGAAGCCAACAGTTGGCTCAACAGTGGAGTCAGCCTTCTATATCCAACAAATGAACCATACCATATTCACTGATTACTTAAATAATAACACTAAAAATTTTATTAATATGGTATACTAGTACAACGCCCGTGTATTACACGGGTGTTTTCTAATTTTTTTCTTAAAAATTTAAAATTAATGAGAAAAAGTAGTTCAAAATTTAAATACCTTTTATAAAAATAAATATATTATTATATATTTAGTACGACCCTATTTATTTGTGCGACTCACATGTGTTATATTATAATAATTTTTCAACTTACAACATATTAATACATTAAACATAATATATGAATTGAGAAATAATTTTATTTTTCTAATGAATTTTAATAAATATTATTATTTTTTATTATTATAAGGAAATATAATTTATTTATTTTATATATACAATATGGATGTCAAATCGAAGATCATTAAAAGATGATTAATTTGATATATTATATATGCAAAACCGATAATAAATACAAAAGTTATCAACTTTTAAAATATATTTACAATTCAATAGCTAATTGAAGGAAACAAATCAAAAGTCAAGGATATATTAGTCACTTAGTGTCTCACTATGTAAAATTAAAAAAAATTAGAGGGTTATATTAGTACAAGTGATATAAAAATACCTAAGTTACCTAATAATAATATTTATGGAATGTCCGAACCTAGATTATTAATTATTAATATATCAATATTATTTGTCCAAACCTAATTACGAAGCATGATTCTTTGCCAAGTAGGATTCCGAAGCACCAGAAACAGCCACGTAGGCTCAGCGCATTCAGAAATTATATATAAGGGGGATATGATTTACTTGTTGTATATAAAAGGTTGGCCCCATTGTTGAGACAACTGTTGGCTTCATAGCAAAACTGATAGACATAAATATCGTTTAAATTTCATTTTTGTCTTTTTAATATAACACATATGATAAGTACATTAAACTAGAGATTGATTTTTTATATTTATATGAATAGCCTTTTTATAGACGTATATGTTTATTGTATGTCAACTCTAATTGAAACAAATTTTTTCAGTTTAATAGATCAATCTATATGGTTTGAGTATATAATCCAAAAATTTTATTAAATGATTTGTGTTTTCTATAAAATGCTTTGGAAATATATATAATAATCCACTCAACGGTACACATGAAGGTTATGTTTGGTAAAACTAACTGATAAGCTAGCTGATAGCTGATAAGCTAGCTTATAGCTTATATGTAATTTTTGAGCTTATAGCTTATAACTTATGACTTATAGTTGAAAAGCTAGCTTATATGATAAAAGATGTTTGGTAAATTAGTTGATAAGCTAGCTGAAATAAAAAATTCAACTAGCTTATTTGAAAAGCTACCTAAAATAGCTTATGAAATAAGCTCGAGTTTTTTTAAAAAAGCTCGTCCTACCAAACGACGCTTATTTTAAACAGTGAGCTTATAAGCTAACCAAAAAAACTATAAGCTAGCTTATTTGGCTTACCAAACATACCCGAAGCAACTCAAAAGACCCACCTTGGTATGATCAAATGTGAAAGCCTTCAACGGAATTTCAGGGGAATTCAGGGAATCCTTTACCCCATGTGCTGAGGACACGTGGCGCAAAACAATTGGTGTAGGACGATTATGGGGATAGCGGCCATGATTTGTCGGAAAAAGTGTGTATTCTATATATTTATTAGCATATTTTTATATGCTTAATTTTATCACACATATATATTTTTTTGACTTATTTATTTCTTCAGGTGGACCTGGTGCTTTGATTTATTTATGTTTTATTTTTAGGATATTGGAGTATTTTTATGGAAGACGAGACGTTGAAGAAGGATTGAAGCAGACCAGTACTAGGGTACCCCATACTCTGACCCATACTCAGTCGTACACATACACGTAAGGAGCGAGCAGATTCACGTACAGAGGACTTGGATACGAGGAACCCGACGGAAGCGGAGGGAGGCCGCACCCGCACACGAAAGAGGATAATTCTATTCTCTTTCTTTTCTTTTTATTTTTATTTATTATGTTAGAGTAATTTTTCTTTCTAGTTCCAACGTTGGATGACGAGACGTTGAAGAAGGATTAAATTATGACTAGTGGGCTCAACTCCTCCATTCATGACAATTTAACCAAAAAGCCTCATTCACTTTGGGATTTACTTTGAGCCCAAATGCGCTAGTGTTGGTACACCTAGTGTGGACTGAAATTCTCGTCCGGTGTCTCGCTGCCAATAAAATACTCAGATATCCTACAAATAAAACATAAACTATCATAGCACCCAAATTCATCTAATAAATAAATAAACCGAGAAATATATAAGTGCGACAAAATTAAACATATGAAAATACGCTAATAAAAATATAAAATCACACACTTTTTTCGGCCAATCAGGCCACCTCTGACACATGCACACTGTGTGTGTACAGACGAGCAGATCCGGGTAGTTTTGGCATTTAGCTCAGCAAATCCGGCCAGCTTCTAAGGCAAGTATTTGACCCCTATATATATAGGGGTGAGCTTTACTTGAGAGACACGATTTAGCCATGTTTACTCTTAAGAATCGATTGGCACAAACATTGACTTAAGTATCGGAGGCTTTTCACCAGAAATCCCCTCCAGTGTGAGAATTATTTTTAGGTACGTGGCGTTCTACCGGCAAGGAGGAAGAAGGCAAACCGATTTTCAGTCGGTCGGAGTGTTTGACATTACCAGATACTAAACAACATAGTTCGGTCTTTAAAGATTGCATTTAAAAATCTAAATATTTTTGTAATGCTCTTTAATTTGTTAAAAAATTAAAAATAAAATAATGAAGGACTCAGGAGAGCTAGCCAAAATGGGTTTTTAACAGACATTGCACTGGATCGGGCTGGCCTGCCAACCTAGTAAATTGGGCCAATTGATTGGTCTCCTGAACTCGTTAACTCCTTGTTTATGGCCCGGCCCATAATAATTGTGTAACATGTGAATCAATACTGAGTCGTCTTAAAATAATAACAAACTCACTAGTTACATGGTTCAAGGTCCAATACAAAACCGAGGCAATCCGATTGGTTTTTTGCCCCAAATAGATTCGTTTAAAACTCGAAATTCCGAAATTGAATTTGAAATCAAATAGCCAGTTTCAAATCGGTCTTGAATGGGCTCTGAACCAGCAGACGACCAATTATTAGATTTTTTTTTTTTTGTTTTGACTGTTGAATCATCTATAATGGATCTATAGTTCGAATTTGTCGATCCCGACGAGTCATGCACCTGAAACTGATGAGTTTACCGTCTTTTTTTTTTTTTTTAAATTTTTTTACCTATATGTACTCTAACTCGTTTTTTCCCACAACTCTTTCATCTTCTCTTCTCACTTATGATAATCTATTGGCAATCTCGTACCCAAAACGTGGCCTTGTTTGTCGACACTTATTAATAACGTGGTCTTGTTTGTCGAAACTTATCGGTAAATCTCAACAAATAAGATCGTCGGTCGTGTACAAACCTGCCAAGATCTATGATATGTGCTTTCATTTTACGATCACTCAATAAAAAAATATGCAAATTTTCGGCTGCTTCAAGAGTAAAGCAACACATGAAATCCAGGTTATTGTCAAATAATGTACATTTTAACATTTTGCTCATTGTATGTATTGAATTTTGTTGGAAAATCACTTGTGAGTTGTTTCATATTGATTTTATAAGAAAAATGAGTCTAGCTTAATATGCCTAATGAGTTACTCCTCTCATCACCAAATGATTTTGGGATAGAACCTTACTAGGTGGTGCACCTAGGCTCGCTCTCTCTTCTTATGGTGCGCTTCACATGCGCGGATCATACCTCTTGCCCCGATTTTATAAATCTTAAATGGTATGAGAGACAGAACAACTTCGGTCTGGGTTTATATCTCTATTCGACTAATTAAGTGCTGGATGACATAAATACCCCTATCAAAGTTGGGCTTGAATCCGATAATAATCTAACTAAGGTGGAGATATCATTTTAACTCCTCAATTTGTAACATTCAAATATTACAACTAAAAATATTATTTTCTTAAATCACAATTAATATTTCAATTAAGGAATTTCATTTTTTATTCAGTCTCCAAAAAATATTTACAAATCATATTATTTTCTTAAAAACAAATACACATTGTTTAGAAAAAAAAAAAAAAAAAGATTACTAGGCCCCGTTTCAGTTGGATAGTTCATTAATTTGTGACCATTCGATCCGTCGGGTCGAGCCCAACATCAACGGGCGTGACCCGACGGGTTCTTATCATATTTAACCAAAAATGTGGGGAACTTTTGTAATTAAGCAGTTAATGAAAAAAATCAACTTGTGCTTTCCCGCTTGGGCGATTTTGTTCCCTCTCTTTCAAACTGCTTTCGATAACCAAAATCGGCAAATTAAATCTGAAATGTGCGAACCCAAAACCCTAAACTCCATTGTTCAATCCAGATTATGAACAATTCCCATGGATCCCGATTACAGGGGTTATCTATTGTTCCACATTGGAGTGGAAGGATTTGAAGACGACGACGACGACGACGACGAAGATTACCAAGAAGAGGAACAAAACGAAGACGAAGAAGAAGAAGACGAAGACGAAGAAGAGGAAGAGGAAGACGAAGGAGAAGAAGAGACGGAAGATGAAGAAGATAACAGCGACGGCGCGGACGAGGGTGAATTGGATGGTAACAACGGTGACGGTAACAGTGTCACTACGGGCACGACGCCGTCTGGAGAAGTTGTGATTATTGAAGACGGTGACGCCACGGAGGAGGGTGAGCGTGAAAGAGGCTGCAAAAAAGGGAGGGTCGGTGGTGGTGGTGAAGGGGGTGAAACGGCGTCGTTGAATGGTGGAGAATTTGGAGAGTTCAGTAGAGGTGAAGTGGATGGATTATTTTGCCCCATCTGCTTTGAAGCTTGGTCTTCTGGTGGTGATCACCATATATGGTAATGGGCTTCTTCATTTTTATTTTTTTTCCCCATAAAATCTGAATCAGTTGAGAATGAAATTCGTTAATCCAGTCTGATTTTTCTGTTCTGTTTATTTTTTATTTTTTTTGAATGTTTAGTTGTTTGCCATGTGGGCATATATATGGATTATCCTGTATACGGAAATGGCTGGCTCGTCGAGGCTCGAGCAAGGTTTGATTAGTTTTTTGAGCTATAATTCATGTGAATTATTGTGGAATTTGCATGGTTGAGCTTATAACATCCAATTTCTTGTTGATATATTTGTGTTTTAGTGCCCTCAATGTAAAAAGAACTGTCGGATGAAAGACATTCGGCTACTTTATGCCTCACAAATAGTTGCCATCGATGGGGAGCTTCAGAAGGTGTTTTTTCTGCCTAAATTATGACCCAACTGTTGGGTACTTATGTTTTTTGTGTAACTGAATTGCAACTTGCGTTTTCTGTTTTTTCCTTCTCCACAGACAGTACGATCACTTGAAGCTAAATGTGCATCTCTTGAGAAACAGGTGAGAACATTGCGAAAAAGCAGAGTGATTAGTTTTATGTTTCATGAGACTTATGCTTTTTTTGTGTAGTTTGAGGATCGTTTTGTTCATACAATTCGTACACAAAATTAATATGGCATTTTATCTAGCCTCTTGAGTCTTGATAGAGGAGGAAAAACCTGAAGGAATCTTTTTTTGCATGAATTTGTCTCTTGCAAAAAATAGATCACCAACATTCTCCAACTCCATTGAACTAACACACGTGTTTGATCAGTGAATAATGAATTCTTGAAGTAGATATGTGGTCTATTATTGTTCCTGGTTAGTTATTAATCATTTCTGCATGATATCCTTGATTTCTAATTTAAAGTCAATTCAGTCTAGCTGGATGGTGTGTAAAAGAAATCGACTACACTATCATTTGTTTGGATTTGCCTCATTATTCTTATAAAAGTGGGTAATAAGATATGTAATCAGTCTTTTAATTGGCTTGACAGAGTAAAATTTTGCAGTCTGACGTGTGAATTTCTTTTACTTTCTAAGTAAACGTTGGACTATATTTTGTGGATATGTTGATTAACTATATCTTGGGTAAATCAGGAAATGGAAAACCTTGACATAATGTGTGGAGTTGAGATTCTATTGATTTCCGCTATAATTTGCCTTCATTGATGTATTCCTTTTATATGTGCCCTTACTTTCTTGTCGTCGACTAGAACTAATTATAAGTCTTAGGATAAGATAAATCTACAGATTGGGGACATTTTTCTTATCATATGAGAATTCATGATTACACAATTCAATTCCTTTGGAGCAAGTTGAGCTTTACAATTTCTTTGCCAATTATTGAGATATTCCGGGGATTGATGTTTGTCGTATTTATTAATTCAATTTTTAATTGACTGCTTTATGTCAAGCATGAATACATTTTTCCGGCCTTCACATGCAATTTCTCAATGATTAAAGTATTATATATTGTCTGTTTCCTAGGTGATTCTAAGGTGTAACATTTTTATAAGGGAAGTATAGTGACACGGCCTATATCATCATTGTTTATGACAAACTTAAAAAGAATTATTATCATTTGTTATTTGAAGTTTTTATGTTTTCAACTTTGCCATTAACTGTCCTTGTTCTTGCTGTGCGTTGACATTTTGCAGGGCGCTGAGTGGTTCAATAAGGAACTGGAATGGAAGATAAAAGAACGTGATTTGCGCAAGCAAGTTCAATATCTCGAAGAGGTATATGCATATCTGATTTTTTCATCTTATTATGTTGTCTGATTTGTGGTATTTGCGAGTGCATGTTCTTGTTTTTATTTTCTCTGTTTGGGTGATGGGGCAAAGGATCTGATGTCTAAATAATGTGTTCTGTCCGCATTAATAGATAATTACTGGCCAAAATGGATATTGATCATTGCCATCATCATTTATATATTTTAAGTTAAAATAATTCTTATCACTAGCAATTATCGTTATAATTATGATGATTTTTCTGCCTTTTGCGGGGTGTTTACTGACAGATACTTATTACTGTGAATATGAACGTTTGATGTCCACAAGATTCTATATCGAATATTCGGTTCTACTTTTGTTTTCAGTTTTTGCATGAATGTGGAAACTATCACCTTGTTGGCAAAGTAATCCATAAACTGGTGTCTAATGATCACATATTTTTTCCTTTTTTGTTTCCATATGATTTTTATTATCACGTATTAGCATTATTGTATTGTGAATGGGTTGTTTCTATTTATTATGTTCTTTCTTAAATTTTTGAAATGTCGAAATGAGCAGTTACTTGGGTATTGCTTGACACCTTGGTTTCTTCTCTCCATTTTCTTTTTGTGTTTCTTTGTTATATGTGAGTCGTAATAAAATTTCACTACTGTGCTGCTAAACTCCGTCCTTATAGCGGACTCGAAACTTGGAGGTCCTTCTAGCAAATGAGGAATGTAGAGCTTCAGGATCATCTGCATCCAATTGGAATTCTCTTGGTAATCAACCTTGGGTAATCACGCATGAAATAAAAGTTTGTTAGTTTATTTCTCTGTTTGTTATAGTTCTCATGCACTCTTATGTTTTTCTTTTGGTACTTGCATGCAGGACCTGATGCTAGCAGTAATTTTCACATGCAAGGATGTTCAAATAAATTTACAATACAGGTTCCCATTCTCATGTTGTTTCTCTTTTTCTTTTCTTTTTTTTTTTTTCTTGTGGCAATATTAATCAAAGTAGATTTGACACACGGGCATAAGTTAAGCCAATTACATGTGTGGGTATTGACTATTGATATTCTGATAGTATTAATCTTGAGTGATTTACTTTATTTTATTATTCAACTTTTTTTTGATTGAATGATGAGAAAATGTTATTTGTGCTCATCTCCTATTGAAACCCCAGCAAATTTACCCAAGGTACCACTTTGAAATTGATGCAAGAAGGCACAGAAAACTCTTGGAACTCGAGTGCAAATCCACAAAAATCTATTTTGCTGGAGTTGCTCCATTGTTCTATTAACCACTAACCTTTGAACTAATGTCTACCAATGTGTGCTATCATTCTGTAGAAGGAGTTCCAGATAGAAGGGGCTCGACTCTTTGACGTTGATTCTTCCAGTGAGAACTATATATTTGCTCGAAGGCTTCTAGGAATGGGGGGAATGCACGTGTTAACGAAAGTAAGTTTTCAGCGTCTCCTGGAAAATGATTTGTTCGAGAAACTGTTTTTGGCTGTTGATAATAAATTTCATATTTCTAATGTAACTAATATATTAACTTATTTGGATAATTCTAGGTGTGCTTGTTATATAGTAACAAGAAGGAGGATATTCAACTCCCTGAGAACACAAAAGCTGTTAAGGACCTGCGACTTTCTCCGGATGCTAAACTTGTACTGTTAGCATCCTTGGGGAAGAAACTATCCATTGTTAGGTGATCTCTCTTTCTCTACACACACATTCACACGTATGAAATAATATGAAATTGGTGCAATTTAGCAGCCTTGATCACAGTGTCTTTTGTCTTTTTTACTGGTGTTCCAGCACAGAGAGCAACAATAATGTTCTTACTTGGGATTTGCAGGTAATAGCTCTAACTGTCTTCTTCATCTTATATTTTTCAAATGAATTAGTTTCATGTTGCTCGAGTGTATTTAAGCAAATGCTTAGATAATTAGTTTGATTTTACTTTTCAGGCTGCTGCCTGGTCATGTTCATGGGATGTTTCCGATTCTCATTATGTGTACACGGGCTTGCAGGTTTAAATTTTGCGCATGTGTCCAATTTCTTTTTTTTTTTCCGTCCCCACTTTATGTTCTAAAAAGCTATTATATGCATGCAGAATGGCACGGTTTTGCAGTTTGACGTGCGTCACAACATGAGATATGTAGAATCCTTGAATGGGTTGACTTGCAATCCAGTCCATTCATTATATTCTCTTTCACCCTCTTCATCTCGCAGTTCTTCTACCAGAAACGTTCTAACCAAAAATATTCTAACGGCATCCTCACTCGGCTTATGTCAATGGGATTTTGGTGTAAATCAAGAAACGTAAGTTTTAGTAGTTATTTTCTTCCAATAATCAAGAAAGGTAAGTTTTAGTAGCTTTTTCTCACTTTCTTTTGGTGATTTTAGGCCATACTTATTTCCCGAATCAGACGAGCAAGAAGTTTGTATTTCTCTAGCTCACTGTAAAACCAGTGATGATATTGTTGCTTCATATCGTCCTAAAATCGAGATAACCGATGGTCTCACTATTTCTCAACCGACACAAAGTGCAGCCGGGCAAGGGACATGGGGAACGCACATCTATTACGAAAAAAACACTTCTGGTTACAAAAAATTCCGAACTATTTGTGCCAAAGTGAGTGATATTAGACTCCCTAAATCCACCATTATTGATGGGGTATATGAAGACCGTGTGTTTGCTTCTGGAGACGAGTCGACTGGTGAACTCGTGCTGTATGACTTGCCGTTTTTATCAGTTTCTGGTCGGATTAAACTCAGGAGCAATCCTATTCGTGATGTGAAGTATGTGCGCGGTTTGCATTCGGGACTACTCAGCTGTTTGAGTGAGGATACTCTGCAGCTATACACAGCAGCCATGCGATTGTGATGGTAGAAACTAATCTGTATATATTGTGTTGATTAATTATTTTTATGTGATGTCGAGTGTGTAGATGTCTTGATAATTAATTCGAATTAGACCTTAAATGTTTTTTTTTTTGGTTTTTTTTTGTAGTATTATTGTTTATACTTTATACGCAATAGTTTCATTTTGGGTGTTCATGGACATACAATAGTTTATACTTTATAAACTGGTCCGGTGAAGTTCAATTGTACGTTTACCGGATCAATTATTGAATTGAATAATTATTTATATATTTTTTAAATTATATATTATTTTTATGCTGTAAATATACAATAACATATAACATAACTAATATAAATGTAAATTTTATACCTTAAAATTTTAACAATGGTATATCTCGTTACCGTATAAATATATACACACATAATTTTATTTTGATAAAAAGAGTTAAAAAATTAATTGATTGGGTCAAACCAGGTCAGTGCTCGGGTCGACCAGTCGGGGTGGGTTATAAACTAAAGTTTGACTTACTAATTGTTGACTGGTCCAAATGTTCCAGATTTGGTTCGGGTCGACTCGGGTCTGATTTGGGTCGCAAATTGCTCATGTCGAGTTTCGTTTTAAATTAGATTTAAAGAAAAAAAAGGTAAAAATATAGGGATGAAATACAAAAAATATGAAACAGTGCATCTGTATCGGATTCACAACTCAACACTTCAATTATACGAATTTTGATTTTCATAAAATCAAGATCTTGATGATATTTTTTATGAAAGTGAAAGAGTATTTGGATACTAAGATAAAGCTATAATCATTACGGTTTTGCTATGGAGCCAACAGTTGACTTTATAGTTGAGCCAACAATTGACTTTATATTTTTTGATTGCTTAAATAACGTTAATATAATTCTATTGATATGGTAGGTCTCCGTGACAAAACCGATAATCATTAAGCCTAATTTAATAATTTCACTATTTTTTTCCCCCTTTCTTTCTTGAAAAAAAAAAAAAAAAAA